CTTGAACCAGGAGCAATTGTTGCTCGGTTTGCCGAGTCTTGGTTAAGAATAGGCACATTTGATCTTCTTCGCGTTCGCGGAGAACGTGATCTGATCAGGAAGCTTGCGACATATGTTGCGGAAGACGTTTTTAGCGGGTGGGAATCCCTTCCCGCCATTGTATCGCTGCGTGACCAGCAGTCTTCCATGCAAATTGACAATCCACAAAGGGGTATCGCCGCCGATCAAGTACAAGATCATGAGGATGTACAGGAGAATCGGTTTGCTAGACTGTATCGAGAAATTGCTCGCCGCAATGCAACGACAGTGGCCGCCTGGCAGGCTTACGGATTCATGAATGGCGTGCTGAACACTGACAACACATCCATTTACGGCTTGTCGCTAGACTACGGCCCCTTTGCTTTTATGGACAACTTTGATCCCCAGTATACCCCGAACCATGATGACCACATGCTGCGATATGCCTATCGCAACCAGCCCAGCATTATCTGGTGGAATCTGGTCCGACTTGGAGAGTCACTAGGTGAGTTGATTGGGGCTGGAAATCGGGTCGACGATGAAAGCTTCGTCAACGATGGAGGGACGGAGGAGTTTGAACCGGAGCTCATCAAACGCGCAGAGAAAATCATTGAGCGTGTGGGCGAGGAGTTCAAAGTAGTATTCCTAAACGAATACAAGCGTTTGATGGGCCAGAGGCTAGGACTCAAAACACAGGCCGAGTTGGACTTCCAGAATCTTTTTTCGGAGATGCTAGACACACTTGAAGCACTCGAATTGGACTTCAACCACTTCTTCCGCCGGCTTTCAGGGTTACCACTAACCAATCTAGAGACCGAAGAAGGCCGAAGGGAGTCAGCCTCGACTTTCTTCCACGCCGAAGGGTTCGGTGGGATTGGATACACCGAGGCTACAGCTAGAGACCGCATTGCGAAATGGCTGGATAGATGGCGGCTTCGCGTCCTAGAGGACTGGGGCCCCGAAAATGACGAGGAAAGACAAAAGACCATGAAATCCATTAACCCGAATGTAAGTACATGTTGTTCTTTTTTTTTCAAGTCCGGTGCAGATTGTCTGACCCATTGATAGTTCGTGCCTCGAGGGTGGATTCTCGACGAGGTCATCGAGCGCGTGGAACGCAAAGGGGACCGAGAAATTCTAGACCGGATCATGCAGATGTCCTTGAACCCGTTCAACGATGAATGGGGTCTTCACAGGGAAGAGGAAGGGCGTTTCTGTGGGGATGTCCCCAAGTACAAGAGGGCTATGATGTGCAGTTGCAGCTCGTAATCAAGCTAGGGGCGCTATGCGGATCTCAATTCTCTGGGAGCCGGGTGGTATACTAGAAATCAGAAACTGATTTGAGCTACGTAGCAATTTTTTTTTTTAAATTTACATCGACTCCCAATCCACGAGATATAAGACCCAGAGCAATCAAAACGACTCTGAGCGCCCTCATAAAAGCGGCGGCAGCCAAGATGGACAAGCTCCACCCGGCAGAGAAAAAACACTACGTAGAGAAACCTAGGTAGGAGGTATCAAAAGTTAAGATCATGTCAACCTTGGCAGGTGTTGATCTCTAATCATACATTTTCAGGAAAAAAAGAGAAATTCGTTTCGTGCATGCATGAAAAATGTCGTCCAATCCCATGGAAACTGCAGAAAGATGTTGACCAAAAGAGTAATGCAAGCAATGGGGCATCTTAGTTAGGGCAAGCGGACTGAACGTGACCGGGCTGCTTGCACTTGTAGCACATGCGCTCACCCTTGGCCTCAGTGGGGCAGTCACGAGAGACGTGACCGACTTCGCCGCCTAATCATGAGTTAGTAAAATTCCTTCCCCTCCCCAAAATTGAAAGAGATAACTGACAGTTGTAGCACTTCTGACCCTGAGTGCAGTCACGAGCCATGTGGCCGAAGCCACCGCAGGAGTAGCAGGTCTGCTGGCGACCACCGGCACCGCCGAAACCACCACCGTAGTTACCACCGGCGTTGTAACCACCGCCGTAGTTACCACCCTGAGAGCAGTTGCGCGCAATATGGCCGACCTGTCCGCACTTGTAGCATTCCTGGGAACCACCACCGCTGTAGTTGCTGTCGCCACCCTGGGGGCATTCGCGGGAAAGATGTCCAGTCTGGCCGCAACGGTAGCACGACTTCTCCTTGGCAGGCTCCTGGCATTCACGGCCTTTTTTTTGAATTGTTAGCCAAGTTCAGAATCTGTGATATTCAGTTTCAACTCACTCAGGTGACCCTGGCCTGTAATTGCGATTTGACTTGATTAGCAAAGTTCATATAACCAGTCCAGATGCCTGATGGTTTATTCGTGGACAATGTTGAGAGGATCATACCATTGCAGTTGTAGCTATTGGAGGTTTAGTGTTAGCTTTTGTGTGGATTGACAGACCAGAGAGGAATTACCAGGTAGGGTTTCCCTTCTTAGGGCAGTCCTTGGCCTATAAAGAGTAGGTAAGTTTCAATTCTATTATTCGCCAGAAATCCGAAAATTTTCAGTCGGGGTGAAGGTAATTACCTGGTGAGAAGCCTCGCCACCTATGAAGAGCGTTAGTATATAAAGTAAAGAAGTATCAATTTGCGCAATGTGTGACAAAGAGGCCCCGAGTCCAAAGCTAAGCTTCCAAGTGAATGACGTATTCGCAGGGATTTCAAAATTGACTCCCAGGGAAGAGAAGGAACATACAGTTGAAGCAGCCACCACGTCCGGCAGGAGGGAAGTCCATATTGAATAAGGGGGGGGGAGGGTATGAGTTTTATAAGAGAGAAAAGAAAAAAGCAAGTTGAAGAGTCTCAAAAAAAAATAATATTGTAGTGCGGGGGAAGAAAATCTTCCCGCTCGTAAAAGCTGACCGCCCTGATGTCTTGAATTTCCATTTTTCTTCCATACAAAGTCACTCTGAAATTTGATGGAAAAGAGGTCTATATAGTTGTGAAAACAGAAAGGTCCGTTTATATATAGACTGTCCAGGGTTCCCAGTCCATGAGTACCTTGTGCCACCCGGGGTTATTGGTCCGTTCTTTTCTTTTATACCTTAAAACATATACACGTTAGGTGAAGTCGTAACATTCAAGTAGTTGTGTTCCGGTCCTTTCTCGAAGAAGAAGTACCCGTTCTTCGTCAAATCCGATAGGCAGGGTCAATTCCTGCGCATTTACACTCCCCAAATTGGGATAAATCCTTCCTGGCTCTGGTTCCCCCTTGTTTTCAGCGTTGAGCTGAACACCGTTCTCCTCGAAGAATTTGCGGCTGCCCAGGGATGATATCGCCATCTCTAACTCCCATATCCGAATCTCATCCCCCCGAGAGCTCACCGAGACAGCTTTCCCGCGGTTGGTCACTTGAACGGCAGATACGGAAGAGGTGTGGCCCCAAAGGCGCCGGCCACCTTGGACGAACAAACTGTCCGATGTAGATACCACAAGGTACATAGTCAACGTGTTGTCGGCATGAGAGGTCAGTAAATACGGATGGGAATAGGACATAGAGGTTGGCGGGTGTTGATGCAGGATAGACGGTGTCCCAGGAGGGATGGGAGGTTGAGTGTCGACAAATTCGGCAGAGTGTCGCCTTTTTCTGGATTGAAGTGGCCTCAATCCATATTGGGAATCCACTGTAGTAGCCAGTCGCGAATCAAGTTGTTGCCCATCTTTGCCTAGACGCAATTCTTGAATCCCCAGAGACCACCCACAGCCAATGTGGAAGAAACTATACACAATAGTAGCGACAATTTCAAAGGATGACACTCTAAGGGATAGTGTCATGGGTGCAACGATGTTATCTGCTTTGAGGGAGGCAACCTGGCGGGGCTCGAAGGCTTCGATTCCCCTTGCTTGATGACCTCCAAGCCGCAGATTGTACAAGGTCAAATCTTTGTGCTGGGATACTACCATTAGATACGGCGACGAGAGGGCCATTGCTGTTATAGCAGCATCACTGGAGCCGATATGAGATGACTGCAAGTCTAGCTGGGACGTTTGAAGATTCAAGACGAAGAGACTAAAGTGACCATTTTCCAGTCCGACGGAGATTTCGATCTTATCTTGGATCTGGCTTACTGCCAACGCGGTTGGCGTCATAGGTGATGATTTCGATGGAGCCGACAAAGGGATTCTTGCAAGACAACATGCCGAGTCTCTTGTGGTCCAAGCCCGGAGCCCGTGCGCCGAGTCTGCCGTGAAGACAACTCCAGCACAAAACCTGACCAACGTAGGAGGGCATGATGGCTGAGGAAACTCTACCTCGGTAACTCGGCATAGCCCTTTCGACCAATTATGCCGGAGCCGATACTGTCGTTTCCAATTGCCCTCCTGTGCTAAGTGCCCATGATCGAACCATGTTGTGACTTTGGGCGAATAATCTGTCTTGACTGAAAGGGCTGTGCGTTTAATATTTGCGAGGCGGCGGGCACGGGGTCGCACCCATTGCGAGTAATATTGCCTTTTCCATATCTCAGAGTCCCCACCAAGAGCATGGAAGCGATGTGATAACCTGGTCGAGGGCAGCAAGTCAGCGAAACGCACAAGAAGGACCGGCCATAATTGGAGTATATATATACCTTTGACACACGTTAAGGGATGATACTGGTAAAAATGAAAGGATATGGAGTAGCAGCTCATTGCTCAGACGAGAAAGACGATCAACAGGCCCAATGTCGTTCCAAGTACGGATACGCTTTTGCGGTAGATCAGATTCCTGGTAGTCTCTGCACCGTTTTGGCATCCTGTCTCAGGTTAAAATTTTGCAAGGAGACTAGCTGAATTGGAGAAATCATTCCGCGCATTCGGAGGAAAGCAGTGGTTGAAGGGAATTGCAGGTGGAGTGGGCCCCAAGACACCGGGGGGATCTTATCAGTGATAAGCTCACGTGTGGCCATTTGGCCTCGACGCGTCGCGTTTATATCGCTCTACCTAAGACGGGCAAAGTTTTTTTTTTCTTTACTTCTCTCATAATCCATGCTATCTCATGATACACTAGAAACTCGACAATGGAAGTTGTCAAGGAGCTCCATGCTGCTGTGGCAAATGCCTGTGAGGCCTCATTCGACAATGCCTATAGACACATGAAATCCCATATTGATGCACACACCAAAGAGGCAGAAATCAAAGAATCACTGGCAATTAAAGCCCAGCAAAAATCAGAGACAATAATTCAAGAGCTTCAGTGCGATATCACGGTACTCCGGAGTGAGCTGCAACAATATGAAGTTGATCCACGGGACCTTGAACTTCCCGGGAAATACGCCAATCTAGAGACCGAATTTGACCCGAAGAACCTGTGGGGGGATGACCTGGATGATGATGACCATCACAATCTTCGGAAGTCTCGGAAAAAAGTTGAGGCCAAATACACCGCGCTTTATACAAATTTACAGACGTTCATCCAAACTTGGAGTGGTCTCAAATCCCGGGTGTTGCAGCATAAAAAGAAGCTACGGCGATGGGATCAACAACTAGAGCGTGAAGAATTCTCGCTTGTTCTCAACGGTCAACCCGTCACATTCCGCAGAGTGCAAAGTCCCACTCCCGAGGACGTTGACGAAGAACACTCGCCCCGGGCCCAAGCCTCCTCGAAGAAACGTTCAAGAGAACAGTGTCCAAATCTCCCAACCAAGGCCATTAAGCTATCGCAAAAAAGTACCCGTGCAGATGATGTGCATACAAATATGAAAGTCGAAGAAGATACGCAAAGAATAATTCACGGCCCAACATCAGAGTCGGCATCCACGTCTAGCTCTCCTAGACCCGATATGGAACCCTCGGAATCTTCTGATACAACACATCTCCTGTCCAATGTCCCCCGACAGCAAAATTGGCAGAGTTTTTCACCAACACTTCCCAGCAAGAATCTCGTGCATAGCCAGCGGGCGATCATCGGCTCGAAGCACCCTGCAGTTGTCAAAAATGAGATATTGTCCTCGAGCCCAACCCGAGGTGCAATGGATAACAGTGAACAGCCATTTTTAAGCACACAAGACCTCGATGAGATAGGGAATACGATACGAACACCAATGAAACGGAAAGCCTATCGGGATGTCAATAATGCGGACGCTTGGAATCCAGAGAACAGTACAAGTAACACACAGTACTCAACGCGGATACCAACAGGCCAGCAAATACCTCACCAGTCATATATACTCCAACCAGTTGACGGCAATGCACGCAGTGCCGCATTCTATGCACAGGGATCTTCCACGAAACGCCTCCAAGATCTGGAGCGACGCGCAATACCAGCTCTGGCAGAAGACGGCGACGATGCGACAAACTTACAGATATCCCCAAAGATCGGCTCCGGTGTCAATCTTGGACCTTTGGAAGCAAAGAACAATGGTGGATTTTCCCAGAGACGCCTAGAAAATCTTCTAGAACAATCGGTACCCTCCAAATCACCTCTTCGTTTGTCGAGCAAAGTTTCCGGTCCGGATTTAACAATGGCGAACAATACACCGCAGAGTGATCAAACAAGGCCTGATATGTCGAGTCAAATGGTCCCGGATATAGACCCCGACGATGAACCATTCAGAGCAAGACCACTTCATCGCCTTGGGTTGGGGCATTTCAAAATCAATCCGGCTAGAAATCAAGGGCTTGATTACGCATATGATGAAGTTGTCCGAAAGAAGGATGACCGCAAATGCATATCAGGCTGTACTCGCCCAGGATGTTGTGGTGATCGGTTCCGGGCCATGGCCCGCCTTGGGGGCCTCCCCAGCAAATCCGGGGCAGAACAAGAGAAAGAAGACCAGGCGATTCTACAAGAGTTTGTGGGAGAAGACACACAATTGCTTCGAAATATGAGCGGCAAAGAGCGTGAAAATATCCTGGTGGAAGCGAGAGCCAGGGCCCTCGCTAACCAATATGGACGACATCGGCATACTCACCAGCGAGCCCAATCCCCTCCTGGCTTCTGGCGGACTGACATGCCAGATACACAGGAGGAGGAGGAAGATCTGGAAGCTGCAAAGATATTAGAACGTGAGAAAGTGGAAGAGCGATATCGAGAGGCTATGCGCCGTGGGGGATTATGGACATGGGCGGATGAATGAGACCGGATGAATGAGACAAACATTTCTATAACCTATTCAATATTACTCTATGCCTGGAAAGACATCATAAAAGATATCTGAGACTATCAGCTCATGTGCAATTCATAGATCTTAATAAATCTCAACATGGTACAAAATATAGTACATGTCAGTATGAAAAGGCCGTGGACCTCGGCCCAGACATCTTGGCAGATGCGGCAGCGGGACCACGTGCCCCCCTGTAACCTCCCGTCCCCGGATCTCGTCTCCTTCGTCACAGCTATCTCCGACATGCTTGATGCCTGAAGATGGAAACTGTTCGCAATATTCAGAACCCAATACCACCGGTGCTCTTGCAACCCTCCAAATGGCTTTGTATGTATGAAGACTTTGTGACTAAGAATGCCAGCTCGGTTGGTCAAGTCGAGTCAGCGCTGAGGTCTTTGACTTATATTATCCCTGGTGAGTTGTCATTCGCAGTAACGAGCTGTTGAATAATCTAACAAATATTCTCTGCTAGGGCGATACCGCGAATCAGAGATACCCTCAGAATGTGGTTAGTGTAACATTGTACTTGTCTTTGAGCGCGTGCTGATATGCCCTGCAGTACACTCTGGTGTCCAGTTGTTATCATTATACCATGACTCTCTCGTCTCGCGAGTCATTGATCAACTTCCATCGACTGTCCCCCGGCCGCCGCCCACTCCTCATTCCCGGTATACTAAATACTGGACCTCTCGCTCCTCGTTGTATCGCCAGGTAGCTCTTGCGCTACAAATGCTCCAGTATACCGAGCTTCTCTGGGAGATGGCGGCACGACGGCGCGGACAGAAAACCCGTTGGCGCGTGGTTGTCTTTATTGAATTTGCAAAGGCAGTCTGCCGCTTGCTTCTTCTGCGATTGACCAACTCCAGGCCACTCGTCAGTCCTCCACTTCCAGAGCGTGAGGTGGATCCAAGAACGACAGAAGAAGAGGAACCGCAGAGTGACTGGAACGGAATGGACACTCCAGTCAGCGAGCGATCTTCAGACTTGAGCTGGACGATGCCTCGCACGGGACTTTCCCTTCCGTCTCTCCCCGACGTAAACGATGTGTCGAACTATCTCATCTCCAAAGTGCTTACGGCAGATGATATCAAACCCCCGAAGGCACTCCTTCATCGGGCAACAGGACAAGGACAGCTGGCTGAAGTGCTATACATCCTTCGGCCTGTCGTCTACGCGATGGCGATGCAAAAGTGGAGTGGTGATAAGCGCAGCTGGCGGCCATGGCTTATTGGGTTTGGGATGGAGTATGGCTGCCGTCAGCTCGCAAAGCGGGACTTTCGGGAACGAGTTGCTGGCGGTCTTCGAGGGCTCACGGGGCTTGAGCGAGAGGAATTGAAGAAGCGTGGATGGTCAATGGGCTGGTGGATGATGCGGGGCGCATTTTATGAAAACATCACCAAGTAAGAATCCCGAGTATATTGTCTCTGGGTTCACGATTGAATACTGACATTTTGCAACAGGTCCTGGCTACACAGTATAACTGGAAAGATGAAAGGCAAACCATTGTTGGACTTGGTGGGCAGTGTTGTGGAGGACTATGAATACCTGTGGGACAACTTCTACTTCTCGACTGCTACGCTGTGAATTTCCACAGATGAGCCCAGTTCTGCTTTACCACGATACCCATTATATCTATGTACGAGTCTTTTTTCTTTTTCTTTTCTTATCTCTTTTTACGGCATTTGCGGTTGAATTTGGTACTCCATCTTTCATTTGTTCTCACTCTTGCTGTGCTTTGTCAAGGAAACGCAAGGGGTATCATTAATGTTTTATTAAGTTTCATGTCTACTCACATTACACGGAGCATTCGCATTCAGAGAACCTCGGCTTGTCTGTGGCCATACCAATCCCGTAATCCAACCTTGCCCGTGCTTTTACCGGGGGCTGATGATATTAAGAACTCATCCAGCCGAGGTGCCCCTTCCTCCTCTTGGTCGGGCCAGTCGACTCGTGCTCCTCCTTTCAGTTCAAGCATCTCCTTTGCAGTGCCCCAGCTGAATCGACACTCGTTGCCCCATCCAAACACAGGGTCCATGTTGCGTCGAAGCCAGCCGACGCACTTGGAGTCTGAGGGATAACCGCTTCCCCAAGTCTCGGGGGCTGGGCTAACTGACTGCTCAGCCTGAAGCACGGCCTCGTACATGACTTCCAGTGCAACATCTCGTGTCACCTTGGCTGCCACACTGGCGGCGCTGACGCAAGGATACAAGGAATCGGCCTTCTTTGCAACTGTGATTTTGAGAGATGGGAAGATTCGCTCCAATTTTTGCTGGTATGTAGCGGGGTTCCCAATCGTGTCAATGTACACCTCTCGCACATCCACTCCAAGGTCTTCAATCACCCCTCGAATGATCTCGACTGTGGCATCCATGGCCTGGGCATTCAGATTGTACACTGCGGTGGGGGATCTCATCATGCCGGAAGAGATGTCGCGCGCCGAAAGTACTTTGACCGCATATCCGCATGACTCGAACAACGAGTCCCCTGGTGTATTCAATAAATGCATCAAGTTGGCTCGCACAGCTGGTGTAAGCACTTTGCTGTCGTCAAAGCTGTGTTTCTCGGTCAAAAGCGAGTGGTGGAGATCCAAAGGGAGATAAAAGGCACCGTAGACCATTGGCCCTAGGACAGGACCGCGGCCGGCTTCATCGACCCCCAAAACACATGGTGTACTCTTAACTATATCATGAATTGTGGATGAGGTCTCTTGGGGCGTGATTGCGGTTGGGCATGGGGTGTAGTACGCATAGGATTCGCCGGACAGAAGAGGTTCTGAAATCACACTAGGAGGAATAAAGGTTGAGGATTCCTTGAGAGGATTGACCGGGGGGTATCCTTTGTCATAATAGGCGTGTAGAAGGTTTTAAAAATAAAAAATGGAAAAAAAAGGAAGAGTGAAGGTACAAAAAATATCTCCCGAGTGAACGCGTCGACCGTTCGGGGTTAGCGGGGGGGGCGCGTGTTGCTCTTCCCGCCTAAATTCCGCATTCCTCCACTTTTTGTGTCTCTTGACTACTTTACTTGAATATCTCGTTATCTCTGATCTCTTTGAATTGCTATTCCTGGCGCTCAATTTTCAGTATGACACGAGGGCCCGGAAAGGCCCGCGACTTCGACTACTCCAATGTGGGAACCAAGGGAAGGTGAGTCGATATGTCATAGTTAATTTCACCAAGGACCTCTATACTGAATACATCTAGGCGCACTGGCATATCTCTAAAAGAGGGTCGACGCGACGAACATGGAATGGAAGAAGTAGACGGTCTCTTCTCATCTCCTGAAAAGTCGCCTGTCGAGTTGAATGGCTTTGAAGACGTGGAAAATGACTCTTCAGTTGGGTCCGAGGGCATGTCGATGGATGAAGGTAGGCTAATCTCGTGCTGCCTTAAGCTGTCGACTCACTGCGTGCTGATGCAAATTCTCTAGGCAATGCGCCAGATCCCATGGACTTCCTCAAGGGCACAAATGGCTCACGTACCTCTTTTCTCCCCCCGCCTGCTGCGCGGTCGCCGATGAAGACTAGTCCCACTAGGTCTCCGCGAAGGACTCCAGCGTTGCAATCAACTCCAGACCCGCCGGATATTCTTGAGTCGTCTAGTCCGTCTGACGGCAAAAGTTTCGCGGGCGCACAGGGAGAATCGCGTCAAGATCCATCTCCTCTTTCCACTCGATCGGTGAACGTTGGTCGCTCAAACCAAAGGAATGGCACACGGCTAAAACCCACGACAAAAGCACAACTAGCAGCAGAATTTGAGCCCGCAGTCATACATGACTTTTCCGACTTTTCCGACGACGACGAGAACGCGAATGCATTCGCCGCAGTACAACAAGATTTCGGTGACAGTCTGAATGTCGATTCTGATTCGGTTGCTGCAGAGGAGCTACACGATTCTCCCGGACAAACCCAACACGATCATGACGGCAATTCATCTACGGCCGACACAACTCCGCCTCGCGAAGAACCCGTTGTAACCTCCAAGCCAACAAAGAAGGCCGCGCCGAAGACTGCCAAGGCAGACAAGGGACAGGCGAAACCCCCCGTGCCGCGTGGACGTCCAAAGTCTCAGCGCCGTAACGTTGAAGAAGATGCCGACCCTAGGCCAACCAAAAAGCGGAACACCACCAAAACATCTCCGCCGGCGCGTGAACCTTTGGAGCCAGAATTAGATCGAGTGGTTGAGAATTATACCAACCGCACAGGTCCTTTAAAAGGCCGAAGCTTGTATATTCTAAAACGCGAAAATCCCACCGACAACAGTGCGACCCACACTCGATCTGGGCGGGTTTCCGTCCGACCACTAGCATACTGGCGCAATGAACGATGTGTCTTCGGTGATGGGGAGGCAGCCGAGGGACATCGATATCCTCTTTCAACCATTAAAGAGGTCATTCGTACCGAAGAGCAAGAGCCCGAAAAGAAGAAGAAGAAAGGGAAACGCTCAACGTCCCACAAGTCTAAGTCTAAGAAACAAAAGGATGACTCTTCGGACGAGGATGAAGATGTTGATCTCTGGGAGAAGGAAGGCGGTGTTCTTCATGGCTACACCCTCAAATGGGACGGGAAAACACAGACCAGTTCGAAGGAGGAGGAAGTCCTAGGTATGATTTCCAACCCTTATAGTTGGTTCCTTTACTAAGTATACGACACAGACATTGCATATGCTCCCTCTGGGATCGAAACCAGAGAAGTCAAAGACTCAACATTCCGATTTGCAAAGCTGCTTAGCTCGTCGTTCATCGGGTCTGGGGTTGTGGAACTCCCACCTGACGGAGTCAAGAAACCCAAGAACTCGAAGAAAATGCACATGGTCTTTTATGTCTGTCACGGGCGTGTTCAAGTGGATATCTCAGGTGTCCAGTTTAGTGCCGGAAAGGGTTGTGTTTTCCAAGTTCCTCGTGGTGAGTCACAGTTCTTCTTGCTTGTTGATTTGTATTAGTTAACTAACACCCCCCATCTCTAGGTAATTATTACAGCTTTGCAAACACCTATCAAAAAGAGGCTCGGCTTTTCTTCACACAAGGCTGTGTCCCCGATGAGAACGAGAACGAAGACGACACCCCGCAGATGTCTCAGGATGCCGGCCCTGAGAGCGAATTTGAAGCCGACACTCCCACCGCTCCTGTTCATGCCCCTGCTAAGAAAGCCAAGGGTCGCCCCAAGGGCAAGCAGAAGAAGGCTGGCAAATGATCACTTCTTAGCTCTGCCCTCCACTCCTGTCCTCATCTTTGTAGACATTGACAATGCGCCATGATACCTTTCTTCTACGTGGATACCCTGAAATTTTATTTTGTGGGCGTCTGAATGTCTTTTATTGTTATTCGTTCTTCAGCGATTTGTTTTCATAGGATTACCAGGGAATTTGGCGTTTTTTTCCCGCCTGTTTCTCTAGTTAATTATGCAATATCTATTGGTGATAATTGGTGATGGAAGAGCAACTGAGAGAAGCTGGGAATCAGAACCTCATTTATTCCAAGATATCGAAATGTATTCAAAAATATACATACCACAGTGTATCAAATCTCTTCCATGAGGTCATCTAGGTCGTCGTCTAGGCCCAACGGGGGGAACTCCCCGACCTCAACCTTTTCGGGCTTCACAAAGACTCCCCTGTTGCCTAAACATTCGAAGTAGCGCTGTCCGCCCACACTACCATCGTTTTTCCCCATCGGCTCGTCAAGCTCGATCCCGACCCAGATTGGCTGGAGATCTGCCGGAAGTTCTGCATTTTGTTGCAGCTCGCGACCCGGACCGGTGATAGGAATAGTCGGAACTGGCCCAACGAAGCGGATCGTGCCGCGTCGAATATGAGGCGGAGATGAAGGTAGAACGATGGCTCGTTTCGAAATAGTGATTCCTAGCAACATGTCATTAGATTAAAGAAATCGCATTGGCACTTGAAAAGTTTGTATCAACGAACCTCGCGTTTGAACCTCGGTCTGGTCTTTCTCAACTTGGTGACGCAGAGCTTCTTCGGGCGATAGAGCGTTAGGATCAAACCGGCCCAGCTTCTGGTTCTTCTTCCAAGCCAAGACAGAGTCCGAACGGGCCTCGTATGTTTCAGTTGGCAGCACATATTTCTCGACCGATGACAAGTCGGTGAAGTTAGCCCGCATAGTTTGTGGGCGGCTGTCATTAACCTGGCGAGGATACAAATCAGCATATATTCATGGTTCATAGTATGAAAATCTTGCGCTGACAGCTTGAATCAGAAGACATGTCGTTCTGGATCCAGTAAAGCAGTCACAGCAGAGTCGTAAAAAAAAACAAACGTAGAAAACATAGAAAAGAAAACCAACCTCGATTTCTGACCCCTTCACCAACCCCCAATCCCCGATCAGGCGGTCGTCCCCGTCAGCCCATTGATCAGGACGACCGGGCACTTTTACTCGCAGGCGCTGACACCCTGGCGGGATTCCCGTCATAGTCTCCAGCTTTGCCTTGACCTGCATCACCGTCCAAGTTGGGGTGATGCGGCGTTCAGTCAGGAATCGAGGCTCCGAATTCCCGGGCTTGGCTAAAGCCGCATTGGTGATAATGACGGAAATGTCCATCGGGGTAGGCTGGAATGCCATCTCGTCTCTGTATCACTTGTCTTTTCGTGTTTCTAGAAAGAAGTGTTAGACTGGGCTGTAAATCAACGCAGGTTCCTAATGTGCGAGACATTCAAAGAAAGAGAGGGGTAAAAAAAAATCGAAATCAAACAGCTACATTCAAGATTCCGTAATTCTTAGAATAACATGAAACCAAGAACAGATGCATTCAGCATCATTGCATGCTAAATTGCTAATATCAAAATTCCACTGAGTGGCTCACAAGAAGCGGCACTTGCCAGGATGACTTGGCAATTGATGACAGGAATACAAGATAGTCTAAATGAAAATGACAATCCTTGAACGGGGTAGGTAGTACTTACAATTTACCTTGTGCTTCCCTGTGGTTGACAGGAAAAGGAATATCGCCCCTCGAAGATGCGATTATTAGTAAGCGGTCTCCGCCAGGAACAAGTTGAGAATGGAATTGGCAAACGATATATTAGCTTTACGGGGGACAAGGTGAAACTAAGCGTAACTTCATTTTTCGGTGCAGTTTATGTAGATAAACAATTGCCTGGACGGGGTCTCAAAGTAGGATGTCGAAGTTAAGTCGACATCCTGCAAGAAATTGATATAAAACAAAACGAGTTATAGCTTATTATGATTGAAGGTTACTTAAGAGTATATATACTAAATGATATGTATCTAGAGTAGTGCTGATCTTAGAATATTGGGAAATTATAATTTACTATGTGGGCTAGTTATCGTGGATTTAGAGTACAGATCTAGTTACCTCTCATAGAGCAATTCAACTCTAGCCCTATTATTGAAACCAAGCCCATCGCAGCTTAGGCTGTTTTCTAACGGATTATGCTATGGATTCTGTACTAATATCATCGTAACTTGCATTATGATAGAAACGGCGTTCATACTTTAAGATTGATAGCCTTTTTTAAAAAAATATGACTCTATAGCAAGTGCTTTTTAGATATTTTCCAATAAAAAGTAGAAATTAGTCAAACTTGACACTATTTAAGCTTGATACTTGATGCGTACTGTAGATCTATATAAGTTCAACATCGCGATGATGTAGATATCATGCCCGTTACAAATCGCAAGCCACGTGATATCCATTCTCGCTTGGCTTTTCGACTCTTCAACAGCACCCACCTTGTTCATGACGAGAGCATCATGGCGTCCCAACAGACTGGCGAAGCGTATGAGCAGAAAAATGTCCATGAAGTGTACCAAGAGATTGCTCAGCATTTCTCTGCCACCCGCTACAAGGTGTGTTTTTTGAGCGACTTGGCCATCGCCACCACTTCGCGGGTTTCCCCAACTAACCACTTTTCCAGCCATGGCCTATAGTCGAGCGATTCCTCACAAGCCTAGCACCGGGCGCAGTGGGGATAGATGTAGGGTGTGGTAATGGCAAAAACTTGATGGTCAATCGAGATGTCTTTATTATTGCTTCAGATAGGTATGTTTTTGATAAGATGAATTATTGAATTTTTTGGATTTTTTGGATTTTCTATAGACTGGTTTATTTCCTTGGGATACCCATTCCGCCCGTTGTATCCCTTTAGCTTGGTCTGGGCTAATACAATGGCAGATCTGAGAACCTGGCTCGGATTGCCCTACAGCACCAGCCGCATTCGACCGTGGTGGCTGATATTCTTGAACTCCCACACCGGGATGCAAGCTTTGACTTTGCGATTTCAATCGCGGTGGTGCACCATCTTTCCACTCCAGCCCGGCGAGTCCAAGCCGTCGCCGAGATCATGCGTACTGTGAAGCGTGGTTCGGAGACGCAGGGTGGTGGGAAGATCCTGATCTATGCCTGGGCCCTCGAGCAAAAGAACAGCCGTAGAGGTTGGGACAAGGGCGATGAGCAAGATCGAATGGTTTCCTGGGTTCGCAAGGGTGATCAACCCCAGACTTTCCATCGCTACTATCACCTGTACGCGGAAGGCGAGCTGGAGCGTGATATTGACAATGCAGGCGGTCAAGTGCTAGAATCCGGGTACGAGAAAGATAACTGGTGGGCGATCGCAACACCCAAAACGGCTCATAACGTTTGAAAATGTGGTATGCAGCTCCGAGAGCCAGCCTCGGAGTCATAGGGACAACACATCAATTCGCACTGCTGGTCCGCCCAAATTTCTGCAAACAAAGGAAAAGAACGCAACAAACATCGAGGGGTAGAAATCATCTATACGATTCACTGTCCCCACAAATCACGATATACCTCCAACCGGCGCTATGCAATTCGTAATAGAAAACAAAAGAAAACAGAAAAAAAGAAAAGAAATATGGATGTTTGGTGGGGGGGGGGGGGGGATAACAAAGGGGAAAAACTCAAAAGACGTGTAGCGTCATCTTCATCATCTCACCCTAGGGCATGGTCCGAGGGGGCATGCCAAGGTGAGGTCCCATGAGACCTGGTGGGGGAATCCCCATCTCCGGCGGTCGTCCAATTCCATAAAACTCTCTTGGGGGAGGTGGAGCGGGGGCATATGCAGGAACGCCTGCAGTGAGCTCTTCAAGGGAGGGAAGTTGAGGTGGATGGCCTGGCAGATGGCCTGGGATTGTGCGTGAGGAAGATCCCTTTCTTGGGCGGGATAAAGAGGTGCTGGCGCGGCGTGTTCTGGTGGTTGGGGGATCGATAGCAGCACTTGAGAGAGAGAATGGCACTACGCCTGCGCGTCGAGCCATCTCCTGCTCTCCCAACTGCCAATGCATGGCCTCTGCTGCACGCCATGGGATCGCCATTTCCTCCGCTACCTTGGACCACATTTCGGCTTTGAATCTATAGCGAGATTAGATGTGTGTTTCTTTTTTTTTTTCTTCCGGGAAGATACCGTTCTCCCAAACCTACCTCTCATATAAACGGGCTAATTTGTTCTTCTTATCTTCATCCCATTCGCTTCGGCGTTCCAGGTAGTTCTGATAGTGAAGACGGCAACTGATGGCACTGCGGCCGGGGAGTCGTTTGCTGATGTCCTCCCACTTCATCCCACTACCCCGCAGTTCGATGATCAAAGCGTCCTCATCTGGCGACCACTTGGATTGCTTCTTTGCTGGAGATTCGGACGTATGTGAGGGCTGTAGGCGCTTGGCAGCCCCCGACGGGCCGGTCTTGGTCAAGGGTGGCATGGCCATGGCGGCCGGGCCCGGCATAGTCATGGGACCTAAGCCCAGGGGCCCTATCGTTCGGGGCGGATACCCGGTGTTCAAACCCGGGGCGGCTTCTTCCTCATCTTGGGGCTTGAGTAGTAGTGAGATATCCACTTTGACAGGAGGCAATATAGGCCGATTTTGTAACGCAATCATATGCGCGGATGAGCGAATAGAATAGTCAAAATGAAAAAGCCAAGGGAGGTTTCCCCAACTCTGGAGGAAGGAGGCAAAGAGGGCTAACACAAGAAGAATAGGAAGGTATGATGCCCCCAAATCCAGAATCGACTATTTGTTTTTTAAGGAAAAAAAAAAAAAAAGGGAATTTTTCGAAATCTCCAGGATATAGAGGGAAAGGTAAAAGAGCTAAAAAAGATTCCAATTCATAAGGAAAGGAAACCCCATATGAAGCGAATGTGAAACGAAGTGACAGCTGATCTAAACCTATGGGAAAGAGTCTAAGACCAGGGTAACGGCCGTTACAGAGTCAAAATTACTATCCACTTTTTAATTAAAGATACGGTCAATTCCCCTGTCTACTTTTGATCGTATTGATGTTTTTATGACCTGCAGAGTTTCTAACCCAGACAAGGAAGAGGGGCTATACTTCAACGGGGACCCGCATCGTCCTTGGGTTAAATGACGGTCTTCTCCGGTCCAGAGCTAAGAGAATTTACGGAACCAGTCGGGGATTTTTTAGAAATTCCCCTTGCTCGAGTGGAGTCCGGGTTGACGTCTATATACTTCGATTTCCTTGAACGACGGGGCAGATTAAGGGACCGGTGGGTCAATTTCTCAGGCCCTGGACCTCAATTTCCACCAATTTCCCGGACAGAAAGGAACACGAGTTCCTTGGGATATATATTCCCTGAAACTCCCCTATCACCTTTCCCCTAAAAAAAAAAGGCAAATGTCTAGGTGGATCGTAACGTTCGCAAGCCGATCGTTGCCTCCCTTGGCTTTTGCACAGACATGACCCGTTCGACTTCACCGTATGATCTTGAAATGCCCGGGTTATGTCCGAAGGGGGATCTATAAACCAAAATATTAAAAAAAAAAAAAAGGAAATCTAGATTTCGGGAGGGAAAAAAAAAAAAGAAAGAAAGAAAGGTATAGGGCTCTAACCTTGAACAGGATAAAACCCGCTGAAGAAATAACGGTGTGGAGTTTCAAGGAGGGGCAAACGTTGGATCATCAGAACTATGACTGAAGTGGTAGCGAAGAGCTGGTGGCGTTGCGCGGCCGTTTCTCTCCCATCTCCGACCCGGGTTTTTTTTGGTTTCTCTGTCAAGTTTGGACTTGTTCTACAGAGTAGATGTGAGGAACCCCCTATACGTGGTATATTCCCAAGTGGATGCATCGCAAATATATAGACAATCCCGTACACTTTCGGCCGGATCTCTGGATAGGCCAATCATTCGGTCAGATTGACGTGATTTGACTCCACATCTGAAACAGCCTTGGAGTCCTTCTAGACACTCTATAGACACTTTAGGTGGAACGGGTACAAGATCTCGACTGGTCTCGAACATGTAAAAAAAAAAAAATACTGGGGAAACACGGGAAATTGGATAGACCGTTAGGGTACTAGATTGGACTCGGAATTTGACTGGAATTTTCAGATTCCACACGTTCTCATTTTCATTGAACGTTTTATTTATAGATCCCGTAGAAAGTGGCTTTGTTGGAATGTACATTTCGAATCACGTCTCAAAGCATGGAACGGAAATCGAAAAGAAAGAACCCTAAGGAATGGAATGTGAATGAGGGCGTGGGTGGACAGATTTGTCAACTTTCTTTGATCGCTGTCCTCGTGGCTTTATTGGCTCTCTCATTCTTTGAATTCAACTCTATGCCGGATGGTCCTATTTTTCTTTGGAGATGAAAACAATGAAAGTCCAGTGGGCCATACAAGATAAATTAAACTGCAATCCCAAGCAATAATGCTCAGATCACATCTATTCACGGATGCCCGTATATTCCATCATGCCCAAAAAGAACGTCGAGCACGTCGAGCACGTCGAGCACGTAGAAGAGGGCGTCGAACAAGTTGAACAAGTCGAAGAGCCAAACGAAGGGGATGAAGAGCAAGAGCAAGTCGAACGGCACGTCGAAGGGGAAGAAGTATACTCGGATAAGGAGGTGAAAGATAAAACGGAGAAAAGAACAAAGTCGGGGGAAGATAAAAGGACACTGCGAGTAAGGGGAGCCAACACAATACCCAAAAAAAAAAAAAAACTTACTCTAACAGACATAGCCATTGATTCCCACCTATTGGCATCCCGACCTGCCCGACAAAACCACCGTGGGATTTCCAAATGGTGGAGTAGACTGCTATCGAAATGCCGTCTTCCAAATGATTCTACACATGCCAATTTTCTACAATTGGCTCATCTGGTACAAGGAGCACCATGCCCCAGAGGGTCACGTTTGCAAACTGGGCATATCCGAGGACGGTCCCACGGAGTGTCAAGTTTGCCAACTTGCGACGATCGCTCAAGGTTACTGGGCAGGGGAAACGAAAAGCTGGAAGCCTGCTTTTAGATCCCTAACACGCTTGCTCTTGCGGGGTTGGAAACCAGCGGGGACAGACTCGGAACAAGACCCGGCAGAGTACTTTGACGTGCTTTACAATGCGATCAAAAACAGCACCAAGCCGATGATGTATGTTCTTCCCCTCTTTTTCTCTCTCCATGTCCCTACAGACACACGGACTGATGTATGAATAGGCAAGGAGACTTGGAAGATATGTTCCAGGTCGAAATCATCATGGCGATGAAGTGCGCTGGGGCAAACCCTTGTGAGCCAAGATATATTCCACGACAGCAACTGTTCATGATGATCAACTTATCCGGGGAGGAGGGCGATGAACTCCCCGTGAAGCCTACGTTGGCCGATATCATCGCCCAGCACTTTGACCACCAGGACGATTACGGTGCGTGTGAGCAGTGTGGAGGCACCAGGACGTCCACAGACCACATAGGAAGCTTTCCCGAGCTTCTCTTGGTTCAGCTCAACCGCACCAGTGCCATGGGCGAGAAGATCAGCACTCACGTATATCTGAGTGAGGACTTGGATATCGAGACACGGTTCATGGATGAACGCTGGGGGAACGAACGGAAAGTCATCCAGTACAAATTGACCTCGATGGTCTTGCATCATGGCAGGGATGTCACACAAGGTCATTACAGTATGGGTGTTAAAGGGAAAGGAGATGAATGGGTCAAGGCGAATGACCTGGAAATCACCGACTGGATCCCCGAAGGGCCTGGATGCAACCCAAACCATCTCCCGACCGGTTATCTCTTTACATACCGCCGGTTACCTACGAATGACAAAGTACAGACAGAGGGAGAAGCAGCCAAGGGAGGGAGAACCCCAGAGCCCGAGGACATGCAAGTCGACTCCAATTTCTTCGCAGATTTTGTTTCTGGACTTCCAGAAGTAGACGATATCCCGAGCAGGTCCGAGGGATTAGTGAGGGTACTGGATGTGGTCATTCCCAAGGTTCTCGATACATACATAGCTTGCACGGCGGAATCGAGGCGCAAGGAGTTTGAGAAATGGGCAGATGAATGGGAGAAGAAAAGGGGAGTCAAAAGGGGAATCCAAGAGACTTCCGCTATTGGTCCAGACATTGGTGACAATGAGGAAATTCTCAACTGGACTAAAGAACGAGGACGACTGGAGATAACTTTGACTGGGGATAAAGGAAAAGGAGCCAAATTATTGGATCTTGAAGTTCAAGGGATGCACTTCAATAGACTCAAGAACAATAAACGAGAAAGGGAGGAAGAGGAAGTCGACAGGGAAAAAGAAAAGACATTTTCTAAAATTTTCAACAAAGTCAAAGGCAAAGCGAAGAACTATGATGAAACTGGAGGAAATGGAAAGAAGAAGAGTAAGAAGTAAAGGAAGTAGGGGAGTTCGGGGTTGAGCTTGTCAGGTTATATATATCGCCTCTTTTTTTTTCTTTCTCGCTCTCTTTTGGTTTTCAGTTTTCAATCTTCATTCTCTCTCTCCCTCTCTCTCCCTCTCTCTCTCTCAAACATGAATATGATACCTACTCCTAACATGTTCATTGATCAACTGATCACAGAATTGGGAAATTCAAATCTAAAACCATTGATGTTAACATTACACTGCCTATTCCCAAATGACTTTCTCCCTGCCCTTGATATCCTCGACCGCAAACTAGTACGTCGAATTAGATCGGATTGTGCAGAAATAGAGGATATCTTCATCGTGATATCTGCAGCACCTTCATCCCCATCCCAAAAGGGCTACGAGGTTCGGCTGCGTGCCTGGAATTGCAGCTGTCCTACATTCACCCTGTCTGCATACCGAGATCAACCCCCGGCGAATCATCCGGCAAACGAACGAAATCAGTTGCCCTACTCATTTGGCGGAACTGTGGCTCGTGGTATGGCTCGGGTGTCACCTCCTACCTGCAAACATATCCTAGCCTGTATTCTGCATACACGGTGTCCTGAGCTGTTCGGGGTTGACGGGGATGGCAGATTCGCCGTTTCCATGGAGGAATTGGCGGGCTGGTGTGCTGGCTGGGGTGGTTGATTTGTCTTTTGGCACGTCAAATGCAAATTGATGTACGAATAATTATTATGTCCTTGGGCGGAAGAGAAGCTGCTGAACCATCTGGGAATCATCCCAGGCATCCACAGATGACAACGGGTCCTACTACAGACCCTTGTCCATTCCACATGAACCATCTGCTCGTGTCCGGGCAATCATTCATTGAACACATGACAAGTCCGGCTGGCCACGCATGGAGAGTTGTCCCAGAGCCCTCTACGATGATGGGATGATGGGATGATGGCATGATGGCATGACAAACACGCCAATGACAGTGTTATTACAATGTACTTTTAAACAGCTCACAGAGAAACCAAGGTCTTCGTTCGCTGTGCGAAATGGATAGACTTGGGACTGCTAATGTGATCTCGATCATGACTATCCGCTATACATGGCAAGATATAAGAGAGGGGGAAGGGAAAGTGGAAATGCCATATGCTTCACTCATTGAATTGAGAATTCTTTCCGGAAGAGCATAAATTAAGAAAAGTCCTTTAGTTCTTCTTGTTCTTGTCGGAGCTATCCTGCTCCTCCTTCTGCTCACCATTTGGCGAACCAGATTTCATGACATCCTTGTCTCCCTTGGTTCCATTGGCCTCCTGGTCCCGCTTGGTGTCACTCTCCTCTTGCTGCTGTCGGTTCTGGATCTTGTTATCGATTAGGTCGTGGAAAGCCGTGATGGCACGGATCAAGCTGCTGATGTAGATAGCCATCAACTGGTCATTAGTCTTGACACTCATGGCCCGTGCCAACTCGCTGTTCTCGATCTGTGGTTCTTGACCGTTGGTCTGCTGCGTCGCCGGTGGGGTGGACAGATTGGGAAGGAGATTGAAAACGTCCTGGAGGTTGCCCAGAATAGCGTGGTTGACGGGAAGATCCTTGTCGAGAACTTTCTGGAGGTATTGGCCGATATCGCGTAGCCGCAGATGCAATCCTTGTAGCGACTGCAGCTGCGACGTGATACGGGTGGAAAGTGTGCCGACTGCGACGTCTCTGATGTCTCGGAGGAGGTGCTCCACGCCAATCTCCTCTGCTTCTTCTGCCTCGATTATCGATGGGGTGTGCACAAATGTCCGGGAGGTCGTTGTTCCATCCTGCAAGTACAAAATAGCCTTGGTTAGTCCTGGTGGGCCTGATGGGTGCTTCCTTGGGTACAATTGCAAAACTCACATCCTTGATTTCATCCACGGCGAAGTAAGCATCTGTAGGCACACCGACTTCCTTCGGTTGTACATCGACAATAACCAGCAAGGGGTTGGGGGTGTATTTCTTGAAGAGCTCATTGATCTCCAAATCCGAAGCGCGCAGCTTAGGACCCGAGTGGTACCAGCCGACTAGCTTCTCGCGAGCATTGATCTTCTTGAACATATCCCTCATCGACTCGACGAAGTTGTGGTCCAAGAACCACACTGATGGATCTTTTTCATCCTCCTCGAACGGGACTAGAAAGAAAACACAGGTGTCAGCTCTGTTGTATGGATTTGGTTCACCGAAGCTTGCACTCACCAGCAAAACTGTTTGATACCCGGACATTATCGCCCGAGTTCTCACCCAGCAGCACACCTACAACACGTTTCCGGGTGCCCTTTGCCGTTCTCCCATAGTGATCTGCGACGGAAAGGAGGACTAACGGGGCAACCGTCACAGAGCGGTTGACGAGGGATAGTGTGTCTGCCGTGGTGGCAGGCATCGTGAAAGGGAAGATGAAAAGAAATCGAGAGCTACAAGGGACAACTAAAGCTCATAGATCAAATAAAATTTAATGAAACAGCAAATCAACGCGAGACAGGAGAATGCGGTAGATGGAGAGCGATGATGCACAGGTGCTCTTGAGAGCTCTCCGCCACAGAGCTGCGCCATCTCGAGGCTGGAGAACTTAGTAAGCAGCCACGGTGGAATTTACCGAGTGAAGAGAAGCTTTGGAAGATATACGTGTAAACAAGATAATTATATATATATGTAAAAGAATATATAAAGAATATAGAGCATATTGTATAGATATTAGACATTGTATCAGGATATATAACATGTATACATGTCTACAAATGGTATACTATGTATTCACTGTGAAGCCCGTGCTCTCCGAACCTCGGGCGCTAAGTTCCTTGCGAATCTTCCCTTTCCCCATTTCTTCCGTTTCTCCGTCTACAGCGTTTCTCTTCTTCAAACCTCTCTCCTCTTACAAATCACAATGGCTCCCATCACCGAAGAGGCCGTTTCCGGTCTGAAGAACACCATTCACCAGCTCGAGGCGAAGGTGTCCGAGCTTGAGAGCCGTCTCGCCAATGGCGGCAAGCCCAAGTCCGCTGCTGAGCAGATGCGCATCATCCTGATGGGCCCTCCTGGTGCAGGTATGCGATTGAGCTATAACTGAAAAAAGGACAATGGATATTAACGGTTTCAATTAGGCAAGGGTACTCAAGCCCCGAACCTCAAGGAAAAGTACTGCGCGTGCCACCTGGTGAGTAGAAGTTTGCCCGGGTACAACATAAGCTCTTTCCCGCTGATATATTTCCTGAATAGGCCACCGGAGACATGCTGCGGTCCCAGGTCGCGAAGAAGACCGATCTTGGTAAGGAAGCCAAGAAGATCATGGACCAAGGTGGTCTCGTCAGCGACGAGATCATGGTCAACATGATCAAGAGCGAGTTGGACAACAACGCCGAGTGCAAGAACGGGTGCGTACATCTACAGTTTTCTCCTAAATTCACTTTCTTCCGAGGCTCGGCCAAAATTTAACACGAGAGGTGCACAGTTTCATTCTGGATGGTTTCCCCCGGACCGTTGCGCAGGCCGAGCGTCTCGATGACATGCTCATCTCTCGTGAGCAGAAGCTTCAGCATGCCATTGAGCTTCAGATTGACGACTCCTTGTTGGTGGCTCGTATCACCGGCCGCCTGGTCCACCCTGCCTCCGGCCGCTCGTACCACAAGATCTTCAACCCACCCAAGGTTGACATGAAGGACGACGTCTCCGGAGAGCCGCTGATCCAGCGTTCCGATGACAATGCCGAGACCCTCACCAAGCGCCTGTCTACTTACCACGCCCAGACCACCCCCGTTGTCGACTACTACAAGAAGACCGGTATCTGGCGTGGCATTGATGCCAGCCAGGAGCCTGGCCAGGTCTGGAAGAGCATTCTTGGAGTCTTCCGCCAGTAAGCGATTCTGTTGGATTGGTATCATTTAAAAGGGGAATTTGAGGGGTAATTTGGGACATTTACCAGTCCAGCGCTCCGTGATGCCTACCTTTTTTTTTTCCCTATGTTTTTTTCTTAATTGGGCACACCGGAAGAATGGCTGGCGTTTTCGTCCACATATAGACGTGGGTTTATCCCCTTGACCGCCATGTATAGTAGTATGTGTGTACCTTTGAGGACCGAATACACTCAAGACCGGCTTGCATTCAATTGGTTCGTTTGGTAAATTTCTTAGTTTTTAGTCTTACATTCGAGTAGGTGTGATGTGTATTCGTCGGATATCATGTACTGTTGTTATTTACACTCGCCATATAACTCATACCTAAAACCTCAGAGGGTACTCAGTCGACTCAATCTGTTGAGGATAGGTCAAACCACCCTGCTTCCGCACCTCATCCATGACCTCCATAATGACGATACTCTCCTCCAATGGTAAGCCCTCACTCTCGAGCTTGCCATCGCGGAGACAACGAGCAACCTCGTCAGCCTCCCAGTACATACCCTTACCATTACCAGGGAACGGACACTGAACCTCACGGATCTCACCGGCACCCTTCTTGGGAATGATACGGTAGCTCTCTGGCCGGAAGGGCTGGCCAAGCACCTGGATCTCGCCTTTGGTGCCCTGGATACGGATGGGGGGACCGCTCGAGCCCTTCTCATCCGGATCAGCAGAGACACGAATGTTGGTCAGGGCGATACCGTGCGATTGCTGCGGGTGGGGGCCATTAGAGGGGGTGCTTGTGGGGAAACTCAGAAGCATGGTTGTGGACTCGTCCACACCGGTGAGGTGGTAAGGAGTCATCTGAGAGGAGACAGTGGGTGGCTTCCTCTGGTCTCGGGGCAGGGTGTGATATAGAGTCTGGAAGACCCAGGTCAGGGAGTAGATACCCACTAGAAGAGCAAGTCAGTCATGGTCTTCTTTTTCTCTTTCTATGCTCCGGGGGTGAGAATCAATGAACAAAAATCCCGGGAAACCTACAATCCAAGAGAGCACCACCAGCCAAGTCGGGGTTCACCATGCGGTGTGTGGTACCCCATTTCGTCTCAACGTCGTCACCGAAGCTTGTATCAGCCACGACACGGAAGACCTCCCCGATCTCACCCTTCTGGATGAGCTCGCGGATCTGAATACTGAGGGGGAAGTAGCGCGTCCAGACAGCTTCCATAAGGAAGAGGTTCTTCTTGCGGGCAATCTCGACGAGAATCTTAGTCTGAGCAGTGTTGACGGTAAAGGCTTTCTCGCAGAGAACATTCTTGCCCGCTTCCAGCGCCAGTCTGACGTTCTGGTAGTGGTGGGAGTGCGGGGTCGCGACGTAGATGACATCGACGTTGGGGTCAGCCACCAAAGTCTCGTAGTCCCCGTATGCAGAGCAGGGGGTAGTGATTCCTCGAGCCGAAATAAATTGCTCGGCCTTGTCCTTGGACGAGGACGAGGCCACGGCGACGACTTGGTGGGCTACGTCAGAGGCATCGCGGACCTTGGGGTCAATGAGAAGGTCGTTTGTGAATGCTGTTGGGAGATAGGTTATTTCATGAGTTCTTGTCTTATACAGCCAGGTATTGTAGAAGTGAGATCTTACTCTCAGCAATCCAACCAGTGGCTATCAATCAGTTAGCTTTGTTTTTGTCTGTTCTCGCAAAATTTCATACCCATGATACCCCATCGAACAATGTGTGGCGCCATGATGGAAGTAAACTTGAATATTCAATTCAGTATATTCAGTATATTCAGTATATTCGCAGGATTCGCAAGATTCGGTATATTTGACAGAGATTAAAGAAAGACAAGTTTACGCCGGAGGAATTTATGGGGAAATCTGGCGGGGATATATTGCCGAGCGGGGGGCAGATCTAGGGCCCTACGTGGTTACATGATCGTAAAAAAAAAAGAACTCAATTCGCTAATTAACGCCAGGGAGATATGTCCTATGCAATGCAAGATTAATCGCGTACAAATCAGATCTCAGTCTTGATGCGCATCTTCTGGCTTGGAGATTCAGTTCCCTGTGTCTAGTTAGCTCTCTGATCATCCACTCTCACAAGGGGAACTCACTTCAGCTTTCCGCTTGCCTAGGACAGAGTCGGGAGTGCTGGTCCGTGTCTGACGTGTCGGTGCAGGGCCCTTGGTCACTTCAGAATAGCAGCTTGCATGATACACACGACTTCCGACCTTGCTTGCGTCTTGCCAGATCCAGTCCTGGACATCCTCAGACCAAGTCGATTCGAATTTCTCCTGGCAGATGGGGCACGGGGTATTGCGGAGAGTGGCATCGTTCGGAGCTCGAATCCATGGCTTTGGCGGCTCTTGCTTGGTATTTCCATCCGCACCTGGGGCCCCTTCCGCCGTAGCTTGGGGGTCCACAGCGCCGTTTACGTCGCCAGCCTCCCGAGATTTGATCCAGTCCTATTGGAGTTAGAAATGAAACTCAAAGAAATACAAGAGATAAAAACATACCCTTTCGTCAACATACCAGCTGCGATTTTGAGCTCGCCTGGAGGACTCGGTCATGCGCTGGTTGGTCTTGAAATGCCAGTCTAGATGCCGCGCCTTCAGTTCCTTGCCTTCGTCCGTGGTCAAGAAACGACGGCCGCAGGTTCCACATCGGTTCGGTCGGGAATCATAAAGAGAGACAATGAGTCCGAATCGAGGGATCTTCATAGATGCGGTGTTCATGGGGACCCCAGAGGACCCACTGGGGGGAACTGCAGCTTGAGACGGAGCTGGGGGTGTAGGCTGCATTCCCTGGGGCAAGAGAAACGGCAAATTAGATCTCCCGGATACTGGCGTCGAAGTCGACGGTGTAAGAGTTGAGGGTGTCGGTCCACCGGGGAGAAGTCCACGTGCCCTCAAGGCTGCAATAAGAGGGTTCTCTGGCGCTGGCTGTGGAGGGCCGCTTTGATGAGGATATTGAGGCATCTGAGGTAGCGCTGCCGGGACTTGAGGTGGTGGGGTGGACTGTTGACGCACAGCGGTAGCTTTGATCAGCTCGGCGAGAGTGTTGGGGTTTAATAGTTGGTGAAGAGGCTGCGAGGCTGGTTGCGCTGGTGGTGTCGGAATTTGTGGAGTGGGCACTACCGAGCCATTCGTAGCGGCAATAGGGGCGACAACCGACGGTGGTCTTGTCGCAGCAAGCGCTGAGACCTGATCACGGACAAGTTTCAACTGATCTGGGGCGAGCTGTTGTTTCTGTAGAATGGTCTGAAGATCCACCAACGCTTTCAGGCGCTGTCGAGAGACGGGGTTAAAAGGACTGTTAGCAAAGTCAATCTTGGCAGAAGCGATCAGGGCATCTACATCTCGATTGAGATAGCTCAAATCGATATCATGCCGATGAGTCTGTGGAGGTGCCTGTGAGACCCAAATTAGCTTTTGAATGTGACAGACGACAGTAGTCTTACCGAATTGGAATGTCCATTGTTGGGTAACTGGTTTTGTGAAGGCCGAAGCATGTTCTGAGATGGTGTAGGGCTGTTGGTCCACCCAGTCGGGGTCCCATTTCCA